GGAGGATGCCTTGGCTGCCCTGTTTGACTTTGTGAGCAGGCTCGTAGCCTAGCACCGCTGCAGCATCACAGAGAATAGCTGATGGTAGTGGGCGTTGAGTCGTGCCGCTACTGTAGTCTGAGGACCGTAGCGGAAGCCATGTTTGGCGGCGTTGGTGGCTAGCATCCTGAAGAATTTAATAGTGTCTGCCACCAGCGCGCCATAAGTCTCTACCGCCAGTCCCAGGAACCCCACGCATGATGGTCGTTCCTGGTACAACCTGTGCTTGCCAATGCATGCTTCCTCGGCTGCCCACCCAAGAGCCCTTGTTGCCTCAAGATCCCGCCGCTGCAATACCGGGTCCGTCACGCTCACGTCCTTTACCCAAGTCTCGGACGTCTCTGGATCACGTATGGCTAGATCCGCCCTCTTCCTGTCCACCGGCGAAGAGTACACCGTAGTCTCGTGCAAGGTCATATACTTTGCTTCCTTTGCCATGCGCAGGCACGCATAAACAAGTGCGTTGTGCGTCCTTGTCCGGTCCCCTCCTTCGCCGCACCGTACCAGGTGGTTGGGTAAGCTTTTGTCAGCTGTGGCGGACCGTGCTCGGTTGCATGGGCTCTGGTCTGTAACGGGTAGTGTCAAGCCAAGGCGTAGTCCTAGCGCCAGTGAGAATTGCCCAGGTGCTAGCGTGAGGTCCGCCCGGGTCGGTACTGCGTTTAGCCAGTCCCCGGCACCTGTGCCTTGTAGACTCAACAGGCGCAGTGGGTGGCCGTTGTCAACTCCAGGTCTGTCCAGTCTCGTATCTGCAACCAATTCCGCCGCCCTTGCTCTGTTGATGTGGCCGTTGCTCTCTCTCTCTCTCTCTCTCTCTCTCTCTCTCTCTCTCTCTAATGGTCTGTATATTGATAGGCACTGAAGGTACAATCATGCAAAGGTGGCTTTTACTAGTAATAACATTCAAGGGAACCTAAGCTAATCCACAAACTAAGTTATCTAGAGCTCAATAAGAGGCTCAAGAACAGCAAAACAATCCCCCAAATGAATTTCATGGCCTATCCCCCCCACAGGTGGATTTTCAGCTACTGCTGCCTCACCCAACTTGATCAGGAATCCAACTGATTGGGCCCGCCGGAGAGCCATTGACCACCGCTGCCGAAACTGGTGCAGAAATTTGGCGGCATAATAGGATTTTGAGTCAGCGTTGAAATGGTGCCGAGCCGCTGTATCTACAAGAAGTTTCGGGAAAACAGGCACCTCAGCACACGGGCAGCCGTAGGTCTGTACGGCCAGTGGAAAGAAGGCGACAGTCTCTGGCCTGTTTGCATAATGTTTGATCTTTTTGTCAGCCTACTCCCTTGCCGCCCATCCTCGTCCTTTCTGTGCTTCCGGGTCCCTCGTGCTGATTGGGTCTGAGATCGTAACATCAAACACCCAAACCGCCCCGCTGCTTCTGTCTGTCATCGTAAAATCGGCTGTCTGTTCCTCAATGGGGCAGCACGCAGCTGTCTTGATGTGAACAATAAATCCCACGTCCTGCGCCATGCTGATGCATGCATCTCTGAGCTCATTATGAGTGTTGATGCGAAGCTTTCCCGTGCCGCAGCAAAATAGGTGATTAGGAAGTCGGGGGTCGGTGATAGCAGTGTGGTCCACGCAGTCACAGTTCTTGGGAGTTGAGAAAGGGAGGCCTAGGCGGAAACGGACGGCATTAGCGAAGTGCACCGGTCCAATGCGTCTCGTCGGTGCAATTGGTATCGCCGTTAGCCAGTCACCAGCTCTGTATCGCGTGAGTGAAATCATCCGCTGCGTATGTCCCGAGAGCGGATTCAAATCCATTTTCCTAGTCTCCTGGACCCGCACCACATAGCGACTGCCGTGAACCTTTAGAGCCAGTGCGTGCTGAAGTTTTATGTCCGATCGCTCTAATATCTCCTTCTCCAGCAACTCAAGCGCGTCGCATGGTAGGGCCATCTCACACTCGGCAAGACAGGTGTGAAGTGGCGAGCTGTCGTCCTGGGGCAGGAGCATGTGTTGACATGCTAGTGCGAGGACATGTGTTGACATGCTAGGTCGGCCCGATGTAACTGCCGAGCAGGCAAACAACGTCACTTGAGAAAGGCACTCCCGGAGTTAGGTGTGTTTCATCTACCACAGTCTTGCTCCAGGCCTCGCACTTCTGTGGGTTGTGAGTCAGACCCAGCTGCTGCAACTTCGATGTGAAATACGTGAAAGCAGCTACAGTAGCATGTTGCTCACCTAGGAAAGTCACATCGTCTGCATACGCCAAACACAGCACGTCCGGGTGGGCCTCAGCTGTTTTGCAGAGTGTCGGGTGAATCCCTGCCGCGAAAAATAATGGGCCAAGGGGATCCCCTTGTCGGACACCCCGTTCGCTCCCAAAACTGACGTCCAGATGCAACGGTGTCGGGTTTCCATATGTCAGCTTCACGAAAGGTTGCAGCGACGAAAGACTGGGCTCCTGTAACGCGGTCGCAATGACCTGTCGCGAGATACTGTTAAAGGCGTTCGCGATGTCGGGTTGCAGTACCAGGCTGTTGGGGCGTGCATCCAGAAAGGCCCTTGTTGCGTGGATCACTGCTTCGGCTCCACCTGGCACTGCTACACCGTATTGTAGTGGCTAGAAATGCTCATGGGCAGCATCGCCCATGACTGCCAGGGCAGCTTTAGCAGTCAATCGAGTCGGACATTCACCGATTGCGATTGGCCGAGCCCCTACATGTGTTGACATGCTAGTGCGAGGGCGCTTCCTGGATCTAGAGCGAGGGAGGAGAAAAACAGTGCCGCCTGGGTGAAGTTGGCTACGAATCCATAGACTCCCTCGATCATGGGGTCTGTGATGCTGACTCCTCCTAGCGATGAGGGCAGCAAAGCCTGTGCCCAGACACGTGTTTGCTCATCCCTACTCGTTGGTACACGATGTCACATGAGGTGAGTAGGGCGGTCAGGAGGTCTCGACCCCACTGGGTCCAAGTATCTCGGGGGAGGAGGTTGAGGGGAGTTGTCCTAGTGAGATAGGCGACACGCCTCGAAATGCAGCGACTGGTTAGTAACGAGGCTACTTGGGGGTCGGCCCACTCGATGAGTGGTAAAGTTTTCGCCATTTCTTCAAGCTGGCCCGCTAGGAATTTGGCTGCTCCGTTGGTCGGCCCGATGAAACTGCCGAGCAGGCGAACACCGTCACTGGAGAAAGGCACTCTCGGAGTTAGGTGTGTTTCGTCTACCACAGTCTTGCTCCAGGCCTCGTATTTTTGTGGGTTGTGAGTCAGACCCAGCTGCTGCAACTTCGATGTGAAATACGTGAAAACAGCTACAGTAGCATGTTGCTCACCTAGGAAAGTCACGTCGTCTGCATACGCCAAACACAGCACGTCCGGGTGGGCCTCAGCTGTTTCGCGGAGTGTTGGGTGAATCCCTGCCGCGAACAATAATGGGCCAAGGGGATCCCCTTCTCGGACACCCTGTTCGTTCCCAAAACTGACGTCCAGATGCAACGGTGTCGGGTTTCCGTGTGTCAGCTTCACGAAAGGTTGCAGTGACGAAAGACTGGGCTCCTATAACGCGGTCGCAATGGCCTGTCGCGAGATAATGTTAAAGGCGTTTGCGATGTCGGGTTGCAGTACCAGGCTGTTGGGGCGTGCTTCCAGAAAAGCTGTTGCTGCGTGGATCACTGCCTCGGCTCTACCTTGCACTGCTACACCGTACTGTAGTGGCTAGAAATGCTCATGGGCAGCATCGCCCATGACTGCCAGGGCAGCTTTAGCTGTCAATCGAGTCAGTCATTCACCGATTGCGATTGGCCGAGCCCCTCCAACCAGCTTGGTCAAAGCGACGAGGCGCGAAGATGTTAGCAGGTCTGCCACCGGGCCTGACAGGTTTCCCCCCAATAGTGTATTTACCAGGGCGTGCAGATGGGTGCTGACCCGCGCATTGGTTACCGCCGCATCTCGTAGATGTTCGAATGCCATGCCAGACGGTCCAGCACCCACGCCGTTTTCGCATCTTCCCAGGAGCTTGGCAAAATCGGCGTGGACGATGGACACATCTGACTCGCGAGCTGTATGCCAGGTCAACGTCTCAGCCCCAGCCGACGGATGCTTCCTGCGAAGTTCTTCCAAGATTTATGGGCTGGGTGTACAGACGGGCATTGACTCGAGGGCCAGCACGGCTCGGCGCAGGCTGCCCCGTTTCGCCAGCCCCTCGGCTTGGCTGATGACCCCGGTCGAATCGGGCTGATGTCATGGCGTGTGGGGCATGTTGACTGCGTTTACTGCGTCCCGATACGGCTGATCCTATTTGCCACGTTGGAAATCTCAGAGGCGAGCTCTGATTTGTGGCCACTCCGGGTGCTTTGGCGAGGTTTGGCGAAGTATCAGGCAGGGTAGAGAGAGTAGCGATGCCATCCGGTTTCAGAATCCGGGTTACACGACAAGTAGAGAAACGGGGTCAGCAATGCCAGCGAGAATAGCTGGCATAGATTTGGCAGTAATCGTCATGAAAGAGACGGTTGTCGACTGACACAAAGGGCTGAGATGTCCCAGTTTGCGATGTCAGCAAACTTATCTTCCTGCTTCGCCAGCTCCTCTAGTGAAAAATAGTGGGCGCTGTGGGGTGCCGGGCGCGGCGCATTCCCGATGTTGGCGGTTCGAGTTTGGCGACACGACTCGGCCTCGTGTTCTGTGAGATGGTTGGAATTACATCCGTCCGATGAGTATCAGACGGTCCCTGATCCGCTTCTGGCTGTTGCGAAACCAACTCCCTTGTTTCTAACTCTGTTCTCCCTCTTGTCTGCCGTGCTCCCTCTTCCTTCTCAGAGTCCCCGTCTTCACTCATGGGGGTCGTTTCCTCCCTATAAGAAGGGTCTGCAGCTTCTTCGACTTCATTAGCCGCTTCTAGAGCGATTAAAGCCCTTTGTTCTGCTGCGTGATACCCGTTCTCCGGTCCTCCGCCCGCGCCGCTACCAGCCTGCCTCCAAACCCCACCATCTCCTTGATTCCAGGATGGTGATTTCCGGAGGGCTTGAGCTGTCGCCAGAGCGCGCTGCCGCCTCGTCGGCTGTTGCGGCAAATTCCCGGTCGGTGGCCGAAAAGGCGACCACGGCGACGAAGCCCCCTGTGCCGCCGGCTCTGAAGCCCATGACAACAACCTCTGAAAAGCCTCCTCCCCCCGTACCCGCAGTTCCTGTGGCGGTGGATGCGTCGGTCCAATCTGCACCCGCTGCTGTTCTGGCGGCTTTGGCTACTGCTGCCGTCCCTCCGGCTCTCCTCCTTGTGCCGTCAGCGTCTGTTCCCACTGATACTGCCATTCGTCCGCCCGCTCCCATCCCTGTCGCACTTGCTGCACCGCTCGATGTCGTCCCCGTCGAGCCAACTCCGGCTGCTGTCTCGTCGCCGCAGGCGGCGTCCGCCACCACTGGCGGCCACGTCCAGTTTGGGGCGCCCTTGGTGGTGCGCCAGTCTGCACCCGTCTCCCTGCCGGCGGTCTCGATGGAACAGCAGTTGCGCCCCCAGTCGCCGGACCGCCGCTCGTCTCGCCCTCATTCTCCTGCACGGCGCCAGGAGAGGGAGTCGTCACAACGCCGACGTGAATATCCTTGGCGTCCCCGCCAGCAGGCGTACGGGCCTGCTCAACACGGTGGTCATGGTGGCTGGTGGGGTCCCCACGGTCGCGGTGGTGGTGAGGCGTATAATCCGCCTGTGAGGATGGCAGATCTGCAGCGGGTTGTGTCCAATGAGATGCGCGAGGAACGGGCGGCGCAGATTCACAGCAGTTCGATGCGGGCCGCGCTGGCGTATGTGGCTCCCCGTCATCTTGTGCTTCTTGTGAATCCGCCGCCAGCCGCTGCTCTCCATCCCCTTGTTCCTGCCCCGTCGTCTCCTGCTCCTGCCGCCTCGGCTCCTGCTCCCGCTGCCTCAGCTCCTGCTCCTGGGTCTCACCTTCGCCTACCGCTGGTTCCGCAAGTGGCGGGTGTAGAGTTTGTGGCTGCGAGAGGAGGAGCGGCAAGGGCGCAGTACCCTCCTCTAGTCGCTGGTGGTTCAGCATCTCTTGCTGCCAATGAGCCGCTTCCGTTCTTGGCGGAGGCGCATCAGCCGCCGCAGGCCCGTGTTCTTGAGGCGACGCTAGGCCAGCTCTTCCGCCTTGTGGATAGCCTTCACGCGTTGCTGCTGATTCAGGTGCTGGCTCACTCGTCGCTCCCTGCGATTCCTTCTGAATCGTTCCATGACCGTCCGCGTGATGTTTGCTTGGACGTGGCAGACCAGCTCGCGCTGCTGCTGGCGCCCGTGTTGGCTGCGCCCTCAGAGGGTGGCGTTGCGACTGCGGGACACCTTGACGAGGCTGTCCGGGGTTGCCATGCGTGTAATGGCTCTGCTTATAGTTGATACGGTGTGTTATTCCTTGCTTCCCCAAGTGCGCGGCCGAAGGCCGCGCCGTCGAGCGTCGGCCGCTGAAGGCGGCCCGCGCGAGCGGAAAGTTTCAGCCGCCAACTGAATAATGAGGAAAGGAGGCTGGGAAGGCCCCTTAAATAGCTAGGCAACCGAGGGCAGAGGCTAAGGGCAGAGGGCAGAGGCTATCCCTCTCTCTCTCTCTCTCTCTCTCTCTCTCTCTCTCTCTCTCTCTCTCTCTCTCTCTCTCTCTCTCTCTCTCGCTCGGTTAGGGGAGCAAAATGAACCCAGAACTCTTTGCAGAGCACAGGACCACCGTTGCCTGAAGAGGTGAAGGAACCTAGCTGCATGGAATGAGTGTGGTCGGGCGTTGAAGTGCCGCCGAGCAGCCGTTTCCGCCAGGAGCTTCAGAAACTGTGGGACCTCCGCGCACGGGCACCCATATGTCTCAACCGCCAGGGGGAAAAAGGCAACCGTGTCAGGGCGGCTGGCGTAATGGCTGATCTTCTTGTCGGCTTGTTCCCTGGCCGCCCAACCCCTTCCCTTGGTGGCTTGTGGGTCCCTGGTGCTGATCGGGTCGGTGATGGTGACATCAGAGATGTACACCGCCCCCGAACTCTTATCACGTAGTGTCAGGTCTGCCGTTTGTTGTTCAACCGGGCAGTATGCTGCAGATTCTCCGTGAACTATGAAGCCGGCGTCCTCTGCCATCGAGATGCAAGCGTCACGGAGTTCATTGTGAGTATTAATCCTATGCTTGCCAGTCCCGCAGCGGAAGAGGTGATTCGGAAGCCGTGGGTCAGTGATTTCAACGTGCTTAGAGCAGTCACACTTCGCGGGTGTAGAGAAGGGGAGGCCTAGCCTGAAGCGGACCGCATTTGCGAAGTGAGGAGGGCCTACACGGCGGGTAGGTTCTATCGGGATAGCGGTTAGCCAGTCCCCCGTGCCGTAGCCTGTCAGGGAGAAAAGCCGTTGGGTGTGGCCCGACAGTGGATTGAGACTCATGTGTCGTGTAGCCCGCACTTGCGTGGCATATCTACTCCCCTGCACCCTCACCCCAAGCTCGTGTTGCAGTTTCAGCCCCTTTGGCTCTAGCCTCTCCATGTCAAGTATGTCTCTAGCTTCTTGTGGCAGCGACGTCTCGCACTCCCCCAGCCACTGGTGTAAGGCGGTTGTGGGATCTCGAGGTAGGAGCATGTGGTCTCTGGCCCCCATCAGTGCTTCCTCTGTTTCTAGCGGTAGTAAGCTTAGAAAGAGGCTAGACTGTGTAAAGCTAGCCAGGTAGCCGAAACGGCCTTCCACCGTGGGGTCCGTTAGTCCAATACCGCCTAGTGACGGTGGGAGTGAGGACTGCTCCCAAACCCGACTCTGTTCTGTGCTGTCCGCCGGGAATCGAATGCCACATGCTGTGAGAAGCGTGGCTAGGAGGTCCATACCCCACTGGGACCAGGTGTCGTGGTTCAGAAGATGTAGCGGGGTCGTTCGTATGAGGTATCCTACACGGCGGCAGATGCAGCGTGTGAGGAGGAGGGAAGCTATCTGCGGGTCTATGCGCTCGATCAGAGGTAGTGACCTTGTCATGTCTTGTAGCTGGGCTGTTAGGAAGGCGGCAGCGCCTTCAGGTGTGCGTAAGAAACTGCCCAGAAGTTTAACGCCTGCGTCACTAGTAGGGACTCCCGTCGGCAGTCGTACTGAACTATCTAGCGGCTGTCTGCTCCATGCGGCACATTCCTCGGGGTTGTGTCGCAAACCCACTTGAGCTAGCTGACTGGTAAAATGGGAGAAAGCTGCGACAGCCTCCTGTGGTTCGCCCAAGAAGCTCACGTCGTCGGCGTATGCCAGGCACAGCACGCCGGGGTGCAGTGCTGCTGTTGTTCTTAGTGCAGGGTGGATCCCAGCCGCAAAAAGTAGCGGCCCTAAGGGATCGCCCTGCCGGACCCCACGCTCGCTGAGTATAGGCGGGCTGTTGAAGTTCGCGTCCAGGTACAGTAAGGATGGGTCGCCGTAGGTCAGTTTTACTAGCGGCAGTAGTGGTGATAGGGCCGGGTCCTGTAATGCTGTCACTATGGCTTGTCGCAAAATGCTGTTGAAGGCGTTGGAGATGTCAGTTTGCAAAATGAGGCAGTTGGGGTGATTGTCGGTGTATGCACGTGCGCTGTGGATGATTGCCTCCGCTCCCCCTGGTACTGCGACACCGTACTGCAGCGGAAGAAAATAGCCACGCGCCGCCTCGCCAAGAGTTGACAGTGCGGCTTTTGCCACCAGGCGGGTCAGACATTCGCCGACTGCAATTGGTCGAGCCCCTCCTTCAGGTTTGGCCAGGGCAATCAAGCGGGAGGATGTGAGTAAATCAGGGATTGGTTGCGGCAGTTTTCCTTTCATAATCGTATTCACCAAGGCATGTAGATGGGTGGAGACAGATGCGTTTGTTACTGACGCGTCGCGTAGGTGTTCAAAAGTCATTCCACTCGGGCCGGCCCCCACCCCATTCTCGCATCGGCTGAGCAACTTCGAAAATTCCGCGTATGCAATCTCGAGGTCTGGTTGGTCAGCGTTGACTGGCCAGATCAAGGGGTCGGGGTCCGCCGGTGGGTGTTTGTCCCGGAGTTCATCCAGGATTCCTGGACAGGGCGTGCAGACCGGCGTTGACTCGAGCGCCATCACGGCTCGGCGCAGGCTCCCTTTTTTCGCCAGGCCCTCCGCTCTGTTGATGATTCCGACTTCGTCAGGCTGGTGACGTGGCGGAGGTGGTGTGTTGACTGCTTCCACCGCGTCCATGTACAGCTGTTGCCACTCGCCGCGTTGAAATGCTCGGAGACGCGCTTTGATTTTGGGCCAATCTGGGCGCCTTGGCGAAGCTTGTCGCAGCATGAGGCGAGGTAAAAATAGGAGTAACTTCCATCCCGCGACGGAGTCAGGGGTTCGCGAGAGGTGCAGAAGTGGTGTCAGGACCACGAGCGATAATATCTTGCACAGATTTGGCGGTAGCCGTCGTAACAGCATGGGTTGGCGACTATCGCAGAGCGGTGTGATGTCCCATTCTGCCACTTCGGCAAATTTGTCAGCCTGCCTCGCCAGTTCCTCTGGCGAAAAATAGCGGGGGTTTTGAGGCTGGCAAGTCGCCCCCGCCTGACCTCTCGTGGCCCGATTTCCACGTCCGCGACCCGTAGCACGAGTAACAGGCGGGGTTGGAATCGTGGCCGTTCGATCGGCATCATGTGGCCCCCGTGTGTTGCCTGACTGTGCTGTCATTCCTCCACGGCTTCCCCTGCTTCCTCTCGTCAAGTACTCTCTCTCCTCGTTCTCCTCCTCGCTGTTGCTGGTCGGAGCTTGTTCCTCCCTATAAGAAGGGTCGGTTTGCTCCTCCGGATCATCATTCCCGTCTAGACGAATTAAAGCCCTACGTGCAGCCGTCTGGAATGCATTCTCCGGTCCACCTTCCACTCTCCGCCCTTCCCGGCGTTCTGCTCCTCGTCTCCTCCCGCCTCGCGATGGTGATTGCTGGCGACTCGTGGATATCGCCAAAGCCCGCTGCCTCTGCGTCAGTGGCAAGCGGAAGGTCACCGCCGGTGTCTGCCTCGGGGAGTGTTGCAATGAAGCCGCCAGTCCCCCCTGCC